AGTCATGGTGCACACCTGTAATTCCAGCACTCAGGAGGCTGAGGCAGGAGGACTATCTCGAGTTTGAGGCCAGCCTGGGCTACACAGTGAGTTCAAGGCCAGCCTGAACTACATAGTGAGACCCTGTCTCAAAAAAAAAAGGGTCTGTAATGAATTTGTAATTTACATGTAGAATATAATTCCCGAGACCAAGCATGGAGCAATCTCTGACCTTTCTCTTCCCCAAGTAATGTTGCCAACACAGCTGGTGTGGGAGAGGCGGGTGCTGCCCTCTCCCTGTGCCCTGTGGCCTCCTCTGAGGTTCTGTCCCACACCTATCATCAATCTTTTTGTTGTTGTTGGTACTGGATATCGAACTCGGGTCCTTGTGCGTACGCAGCAGGGGGCGAAACCACTGAGCTAAATCCCCAGCCTAGTATCAGTCTTTGCCATAACCTCCTACCAGTTTCCCTGCTCCAAGCACCTGCTGTGCCCAAGTCATGCTTCATCCTGGACTCAGGGTTATGTTATTCATTTCTTCCTCTAAAATTGTTAACGGATCCATACTACCAAGAAAGAGAGCCCCAAATCTCCAGCACGTCCTACAGTTCCTTGGTGAACTGATTTCATTCTTTTTGAGCACTGTGTCCTTTCCTCATTCTCATCTCTGTGACTCTCTTTGGATGGTCACCTTCGCCTAGAACGTCCTTCTTCCATATCCACCTCAGAGACTAAGCTCAAATGGTATCTTTTCCAGAAGACATTCTGGGGCTCCCTAGTACAGCACTCTTGCTCAGACCCATACTAAATATTCTGTCTTCAGGGGGCCAGAGCAGGTGATCATTAAGAAGTCAGGCCTTAGGTGCAGATGGGTAAGAGCTCAAACCTTGACACTGGTCCTTATTAGCTTCCGAAGCTCGGCTCTCATGTGTGTAAATGGGGACCTGGGCGTAATGATGAGCATAGAAAATATGAGCCATGCCTTCGTGGGCCTGACAGTTACAGGGGTGAATCACATAGCACCATTTAATGGGAATAATACTCTGAAAAAGAAAAGTGGAGTTCTGTTTGAGCATTTACCTGGAGCACAGAGGAGATCACCAACTGGACAGTGTGGAGGGAGGAACTGCAGGAAGAATGTTCAAGTCAGAAGAAACAGCATACACAAAGGCCCTGTGGTAGGAGGAAGCAGCAAGGGAGGATGGGTAGCTCCATTCACTCCCCTCTTAATGCCATGTGGCCTGGGAAAGGGATAGAGACCTTCAGGCTTTTTCCGGGAAAGAAAGACAGAAATCCAGGGGTGGTCACAGGACTCCAGACCCCTAACCCACCTTTCCTGGTCCTCTGTCTTTAGGGCAGCTGGTCAGGCTTCCCTTGCTCACTCTTCTCCCTCTCCCACACCCTTGTGGCTCTCTCCTGGGAGCAGCTCACATGTTGAAATGACAACATTCTGGATATATTATATATGACTTTTTGTGTACCTGCTAGGGAACTGAAAGTCACCTGTCTGGCATCTATCGGACAGCAGTGGACTAATATTCACAAGCCCTCAGAGTGGGGCCTGGTAAGTAGAAAGCATCTATAAGTGTTTGTTAAATAAAGAGTTCTCTTTGCAGGTCACTTGTTACCTGTGGCATTTTTAAATATAACTTTTCTTTCTCCTCGGAGACTGGAAAAAGTTGGGGTAAATTTCTTCTCTTGCCAGGCCCTTTTTTCACTGTATGAGTTTCATTTTATATTCCAGACATACATAGCACATATTATGTGGCTCTCTATTTTTCAATTTGTTTTGTGGTATTTTTTCCATGTTATTGTAAACCCTTCACCAACCACATTAAACATCATAGTTTACTTAAAAATTATTTCAAGGGGCTGGGGGATTTAGCTCAGTGGTGCAAGGGCCTGAGTTCCGTTCCTGGTACCAAAAAACAAAAACAAAGTTATTTCAAACCAGGTGTGGTGGTGTATGCCTATAATCCCTGGGAGGCTGAGGCAAGAAGTTCAAGCCCAGCTTGGACAGGTTAATGATTTAGTGAGACTCTGTCTCAAAATTAAAACTACAAAAGGACTGGAGTATAGCTCAATGTGAAGACCCTGAGTTCAATCTCCAGTACCACCAAAAAAAGTTATTTTCTGTCAGGATTATCACCAGGTAAAGTGGTAAAATACTAAAGGATCCTGATACATATTGTCAAGTAGTTTTCTAGCAGAACAGTTTCTGTGCTTGCCTGCAACATATGTCTGTATTTCACCAACTTCTAACTAATTTTGTTATTATTGTAACTAATTAGCTTTTGGGACAGGGTCTTGCTGTGTTACCCAGGCTAGCCTCCAACTTTTGATCCTCCTGCCTCAGCCTCCTTCAGCACCTGAGTGCTGGCGTTGTGGGCATGTCCCACCCCACCCAACTACGGTTGATTTTTTCAAAGGTTGCATGTATGCTTTGTTTGGGGGTTTGTTGTTTGTTTTCTGATTTTTTCAGAGAAATAAAGCATCTCATTGTTTGAATGCACATTTATTTGATGATACTGGACACAGTATTTATCAACTTAATAAATGTACCTGTGCATTTTCTTTTCTGAGAATTGCTGCTTGAAATCCTTTTTCTATTTGTTTCTTTGTGACTCACTATTTTTCCTATAATGTTACATGAGTTCTTTATCCATGTTTTATTTTCCCCAAATTCATATCAACAGATATACACAATAGGGTTCAGGGATTTAGCTCTGTGGTTCCGCTGCCTGCCTCACAAGTGCAAGGACCTGAGTTCTATCCCTGGTACCAAAACAAAACTCCCAAAAAACAAATATACACAGTGTCTTAATTCTGTTTCTTGCTTAGCAGGTTTTTGCATTTGTATTTATTTAATGTTTTATTTTATTAGTGGATTTGTGTACTTTTATGTAATCAAATCAAACCCTGTGTGGTTTCTGTTATTGCTTTTAAGTGTAGACTGTGCCTTTCCAGAGATGTGATATCACTTTGATTTTCTTTTAGAATTTTTTGGTGATTTCTTTTCTTTCCTTTTTTTTTTTTGTTTTTTGTTTTTTGTTTGTTTGTTTGTCTGAAACAGAGTCTCGCTATGTAGCCCAGGCTGGCCCGGAATTTGAGGCAATCGTCCTGCCTCACCCTCCCAAGTGCTGGGATTATAGGTGTGCACCACCACACCTGGCACTCTCTCTCTCTACCTCTCTCTCTCTCTCTCTACCTCTCTCTCTCTTCTTTCGGTACTGGGGATTGAACCCAGGGCCTTCACACTGAGCTACATCCCCAGCCCTATTGTAGTTTTAATTTTGAGGTAAGGTTTCACTAAATTACTAGATTCCCCAGGTTTTGCTGGAAATTTTGATCCTCCTGCCTCAGCCTTCCAAGTGCTAGGATCACAGGTGGGCACTACCATGTCCAGCTTGAATTTTTTAAAAGTAAAAAGAAAAGGCAGAGCACAGAGGATTTGTGGGACAGTGAGAATATTCCATATGATGCTGCAGCAGTGGATATATGTCATTACACAGTTGTCAGAACCCTCAGGATGGACTGGACATGGTGGCACACACCTGTAATCCCAGTACTTGGGAGGCTGGGGCAGGAAGATCTTTGTGAATTCAAGGCCAGCCTGTCTCAAAACAAAATAAAACAACCCCCCCCAAAAAAACAACAAAAAACCCCACAGAATGCAAGAGTGAACCCTAACATAAAGCATGGTTTGGGGTGACAAGAGTGTCAACAGAGCCCACTGATGGTAACAAATGTCCCACACTGGTACCAGAGCTGGTGTATGTGGCGGACACCAGATATGTGGGAACTCTGCACTTTCTGCTTTCTCAGAGAAAAGAAAGCTATGAGCCTAAAACTTCCATAAAATATAAAATGTATCCCTTTCCGTAAAATTCAAAACTATAAGCTAGAAGGGCTGGGGATTTAGCTCAGTGGTTCTGCCACCTGCCTCGCAAGCGCAAGGACCCGAGTTTGATCCCCAGTACCAAAAAAAAAAAAAAAAGATCATACAAAACTATGATAGATATATGAAATCAACATTAATAATATATTTGTATCTCAATATGTCTAAAAATATCATATCAGCAGGTAATCTCAATAGAAAAGTTGATGAATGAAATATCTTCTTTGGTATTAAGTCATAGTACTTTGGTTTGTATTTTACACTCACAGCACATTTCCACTTGCACTAGTGAGGAGCCGCATTTCCAGGGCTCCACAGCCACCCGTGGTCGTGGCCATGGGACTGTCATCTCAGACCTAGACCTTAGTTTGACTCCATGAGAGGACAGGGGGAACCCATCTCCTTGGCTTGTTTCACTGGCCCCTTCCCTTTCCCCTCCCACCTGGTCCTGTCTGGAAAATTCACATCAAGACAGCTTGTGTTTTTCTTCCCTTCCCCAGTGACATCAGCCCAACCCTCAGCTCTGCTGTGGCAACCACCTCCTTCCCATGCCTTGGCCTTCTGCGTGTGGGTCAGGAGCTCACCACCTGGGCCAACCCAGCATCCCACCCCTGCAGTTTCTAACTCTGGTGACAGCCTCAATAACAATAATTATGAAACTATCTTGCTGGCAGCCAGCACTTATGGACTGTGAAATGCCAGGCATTCTGCTCACCCAGAAGGCACCGTGTTATCTAATCCTGCCCGCCATCTCCAGGGTCAGAGCTGTTTGACCCGTAGGGTTCTGCTACCAGCCAGTGAGCCCTGACAGAACCCAGCCTGTGTTCTAAGTCAGGGGTGAGGGGTTCATAAAGTTCCTCCATTTAGCACGAGAAACACTTCCACGGGTCCCTTGTGGGCACCGCCCCTTCCTCTCCTACCTGGGAATCGGTGACAACCCTCAGGGTGAGAGGCCTGGAGGGGGAACCCCTGCCCAAGGCTGGAGTCTGCGCTCGCTCCCGGGGACCTTTCTGCCCCAGGTAGGGTGCGCTCCACGACCACAGGGCGCGAAGAGGGGATGGGGGAGGCGTGAGGAGAGCCATAACTCGGCGGGGCGGAGCAGAACAAGTGACTCTCCGGTCAGGGCGGGACCAGCGTCTGACCCCGACGGGCAAAACACGGTGGCGGGGGTGGCAGGAACGAGGCCAGGTCGGCAGACAGGTCCTGCACAGCTGCGCTCCGCGCCCCTCTGCGCGCGCGGGCACCATGAGCGGCCGAGTCGGGGACCTGAGCCCCCAGCAGCAGGAGGCGCTGGCCAGGGTGAGGGGCTCGGCGGCGGGGAGGTGTGGGGAGGGATCAAGCAGCAGGACGCTGTACCCCCACCCCAGCCGGAGTCCCCACCGCAGGGCGGGAACACGGAGGAGCGGGAGGGCTCCTCTGAGCTCAGCACCCGGGACTGGAGCCCGCTGGAGGCGACCCGGTGGGGGGAGGGGGGTGCAGCCTTCTGCCCCTGCCCGTGCTCCCCGACCCAGCCCTGCCCTTGTTTCCTGCTTTGAGGGTGCAGTGGAGCTGCCCTCGGCTGGCTGCCGCGGTGACGTGCCCTAACAGCTTCCCAGAGTCCCAGATCTCGTGCCTTGATTTCCGTATTTGTTCTCTTCGTGGCTCTCTGACTTCTTAGGGCCCGAGTCTTCTCCCTGTGATTATTTTTCATGAAATATTTTTTATTAAAGGCATTTTGAGAGTCCTGCTGGCTGCACCTGGAAGGGACAGGGCCTTGGGGAGAGGGGAGGATGCTCCCTTAGCTCTTATGCCTGGGAAGAATGGGTAGTTCAGGAGTTGTGAGGAATTGTTTATTTTGAGGCTTCTCCCCTGGGGCAAGATCCTTCAGGGAGGAATGGGGACCCTGGTAAAAGAAGGGGGTCCTGGTGTTATGGGTTGTGGGTGGCTGGAGTCCCCTTCTAAGGGTACTTTTTAGGTTCTTTCTGTCCTCAACAAAAAATTTGTCAAGACAAGCGCAAAAGATAGCAAGGTTTTGGGCCAGGATTTAGCTCAGTGGCATCTTGCCTGCCTTGTAAGAGCAAGGTCCTGAGTTGGATCCCCAGTACCAAAAACAAAACAAAGCAAAAGGTAGCGAGGTTTTACGGTTATTAAAGGTAGGAAAAGAAACATGCTCTGCAGCTGAGTGTGATGGCACACTCTTGGCTGAGGCAGGAGGTTTGCCACAAGTTCACGGCCAGCCTGGGCTACATAGTAAGTTCAAGGCCAGCCTGAACTACAGACCCTGTCTCAAAAAAAAAGAAAAGAAAAAGAGAAAGAGAAAGAAAGAAAAAAGAAACATGCTCTGCCAAGCGAGCGAGTTTGGGCCAAGCAAAGATAGGAAAAGAAGTACACTCTACAGGAGAAAGTGGGTCACAGTGAGAGAACACAGTAGCAGACAGTTCAGTGTAATCCTGGCATGGTGGTGCACACCTGTAATCCTAGCACTTGGGAGGCTGAGGCAGGAGGATCACCATGAACTACACCTGGGCTACATAATAAGTTCAAGGCCAGCCTGAATCACAGAGCAGACCCTGTCGAAAATACAACAATAACAACAACAACAACAAACCCTCCGTGTGACTGTTCTTTTTGTATCTCCCACTCCTCAGGCTGATGTCAGGTCTAGGCCATCCAATCCAAAATTGCTCAAGTTCTCCCAGAAGTCCACAGGCAGGGCTTTGGGAACTGTTCCTGGCACTTTGTACTTAACAGGTCTCACCTTACTTCCCCAGTCTGCCAGCCACACCCTATTTCCCTGCCACCCTGGGACTTCACTCAGGGCACTTGGAGGGTAGAAAAGGGTCTGCAGCTCAGTGGTTCCACTGCCTGCCTTGCAAGCACAAGGTCCCCAGTTAGATCCCTGGTACCAAAAGGAAAAAAAAAGAAAAGGGTCTACAAGAAGGAGAAGTCATCAGTGAAAGAGAGAAATGCCCAGATGATGGGGAAGGTACCCAGTTCAGAGGTGCTCAGGTGAAAGAGAAGGCATCCCCTGGTGAGCCCTGTCCCACCCCTGCTGGTGGCCTCTGGGAAGCCCAGACAGGAGGCTCACAGGAAGAACAGGGCACTTGGCCTTTGAGGGAGATTTCTGTGGGCCAGAGATTTGAGCCATGTGAAAATATTTATTGTTTGTTTGAGACAGGGTCTCATTGTGTAGTTCAGGATAGACTTGAACTAACCACGTAGCCCAGGCTAGCCTCAAACTTGCAGTGATCCCCTGCCTCCTGAGTGCTGGGTTTACAGACGTTTGCTTATTCCTATCTTTTCTTTTCTTTTGAGGTACTGGTGATCAAACCCAGTGGCACTCTGCCACTGAGCTACATCTCCAGCTCTTTGTACTTTTTGAGATCGAGTCCTTCTAAGTTGTCCAGGAGGGACTTGAACTTGCTTTCCTCCTGCATTGGCCTTTTTCAGTGCGGGGATTACAGGGATGTGTCACTGTGCCCAGTCTTTTCCCCAATATTTATAAGGAACCCAAGAGGTGTGGTGGTGCACTGCCTGTAATCCCAACTCTTGTGAGGCTGAGGCAGGAGCATCTCAAGTTGAAGGCCAACCTAAGCTACATGGTGAGTTCAGGACTGTTTTGGACTACATAAAGAAATGCTGTCTTGAAAAGAAAAAGTAATAAATGCTTATCATTTTTAAAATGGTGAGGGGAGGCAGAGGGAGGGGAGATTATCCATGGTCCCAGAGGTCTAGATAACTATGCCCAGGCCACATTTGCTGAGTGACACCCCACAGATATCTGGTACCTGCTTGGAGCCAGGTCCAATGCTAAGTGCTTTAGGTGCACACATTTCTTTGATAGGCACAAATGTATCATTATGCCCATTTTACAGATGAGGAGACTGAGGCGCAGAGAGGTTAAGTAGCTTGCCTCCAAATCCAGACCCCAAGCTGTAGTATTATCAAGGGCAACATTCCTGAGACATTTGGCTGCCCTGTATTAGAATCACATAGGGATCCTTGTAAAAACAGAGATGCCAGGGCCTCAACTCAGACTTGTGGAGTGACAATCTTTGGAGTCTGAGCACTCTCAGAGGTTGAAAAGGGCCCAACTCTTCCTTCTCCAGTGGGCCAGAGGGTGCCTCATTCCCAGATGACAAAATTGCTCAGGGCAAGCGCTGTGTGGTCTTTACCCTGCAGGGTCCCCAGGTCTGGTGGCCCAAGGGTCGTAAGAGCCCCTCTGACCATCATACTCCCCCTCCCATTAGTTCCAGGAGAACCTCCAGGACCTGCTGCCCACCCTGCCCAAGGCTGATGACTACTTCCTCCTGCGCTGGCTCCGAGGTGAGAGCACAGGGTTGGAGGAGGCAGAGAGGGAGGGAAAGAGAGGCCTCAGGAGAGGGCGACGGGAGACCACGGAGGACAGTGCTGTGGTGAAGCATGGAAAAGGCTCTTGACCCGCCTGTGCTGGGCTAGAATCTGAGCACTGAATTTCCGCTGAGCCTTGGTTTCCTCATTTGTAAAATGACTGTGAGTCACTAGGAAAGCAGAGTCTAAGACAGATTAGAGGTAATGCCTGTGAAGTGAGTGCTCAAGAGTTAACTGGCCTGGCCTGGGTCAGATATAGCTGAGCCTGGCTTCAGGACTTGCCTTGCATCTCTGTCGAGTTCCCTGCGGACAGGGCTGTTTCATCGCACTAGGGAATGTACAGGACACTGAGCAATGACTAGCAAACACTTAAAGAAGTGAATTTAATTCTGGGCATGGTAGTGCATACCTGTAATCCTAGCACTTGGGAGGCTGAGGCAGGAGGATTGCAAGTTTGAACCCCACTTGGGCAACTTAGCAAGACCCTCTCTCAAAAATAAAAATGTTTATGGCTGGGGATTTAGCTTAGTGGTTCTGCAGCCCGCCTCGAAAGTGCAAGGTCCTGAGTTCAATCCCTGGTATCAAACAAAAAAATGTTAAAAGGCTGGAGAGGTAGCTGCAAAGGCCTTGGGTTCAGTCTCTAGTACTGCAAAACATAACAAACAAACAAAAGAGGATTCAAACAGAAGTAAAGGCGCCAGGGATTTAGCTTAGGGCTGGGGATTTAGCTCAGTGGTTTTGCTGCCTGCTGCACAAACGCAAGGACTGGAGTTCAATCTCTGGTGCCAAAAAAAAAAAAACCAACAAAAAGAAGTGAAGAAGGAGTTTCTTCTAGGAACTACAGCAGAAGTCTAAAAAACAGGACAAAACAAGAACCAAACAAACAAATAGAAACTACATCAGGGCCTAAGGACAAAAAGAAAAATAATCATTTTATGGGAAAGATTTTTCCCTAGAGATGAGAGAAGTTAGAAGTCAGCCAGAGACCCGGCATGGTAGCACACACCTGTGGTCTCAGCACTCAGGAGACTGAGGCAGGAGGACTGCTTTGAGTTTGAGGCCAGCCTGGGCTACATAGCAAAACCCTGTATCATGAAAAGAAAAGAGAAGGAGGAGGAGGAGGAGGAGGGGAGGGGGAGGAGAAGGAAAAGGAGAAGGAGACAAGTGGACACACAGTGTATGGTTTAAAATGCTGGTGGTCTTCCATAGAGCAGACTGGTGACTGATTCCAGCTCTACCGTGCACTAGCAGTGTAGCTGTGGTAACTCAGTCTTTGTCTCTCAGCCTCACTCTCCTCTTCTATGTAATGGGCATAATATTGGTCTTACGTTCGGGGTTCTGTGAGTCAAACATGAGGTCAGAGAGGTGCACGATGCTGCATGAAGGAAGCACCCGCCCAGGAGCCGGTACTTCCTTTCTGTTTTGTTCTATCTGGTTTCTTTTTTTTTGGTACCAGGGATCGAACTCGGGTCCTTGCACTTGCGCAGCAGACGGCGAAACCACTGAGCTAAATCCCTAGCCATCTATCTGGTTTCTTTATTATTTTTTTTCAATAAAATTTTTCTTTTGGTACTGGAAATGGAACCTACCGCCTTTGCTCTGAGCTATAGCCCCAGTCCTTTATTATTTTTTTATTGAGACAAGTCTCACTAAGTTGGCCAGGCTGAGCTGAACTTGGAATCCTTCTGCCTCAGCCTCCCAGAACACTGGAATTATAGGTGTGTGTCACCATGCCTCTTGGCTATTTTTATAAACTTTTTAAGTTTTAGATTTTCAGAAAAAGTGCAAAGATAGAATAGAAAGTTCTTATATACACTCTACTCAGATTTTCCCATTAAAATCTTACATTTGTATGGTACATTTGTCAAAAAAAAAACATTGCATGTATGGTACATTTGTCACAATTAATAAACCAATGTGGTTGTAATGTTATTATTATTATCATTTTTTTTTTATACCGAGGATCAAATTCTGGTCCTAGGCGGCAAAACCATTGAGCTAAATCCCCGGCACCTATTATCATTATTATTAACTAAAGGTTATGTAGATTTCAAGTTTTTCTGTAGTCAGATCCCATTCAGGACACTGAAGTACATTTAGTCATCTTGTCTCCTTAGGATTCTCTTGGCGGTGGCAGTTTCCATTTGGTGGTTTTTGGTTTTGGGGTTTTTTTTTTGGTACCGGGGATTGAACTCGGGTCCTTGCACTTGCAGGGCAGGCAATGGCACCACTGAGCTAAATCCCCAGCCCTGGATTTTTTTAAATAAGGGAACGTATTGCCCCCTGTCTAAGCTATGAAGCCCCTTAACGTAGTGTGTCCTAATTCACCTTTCATCACCATAATGAAGTTATCCAGGTGGAGTGGTGCAACCTGTAATCCCAGCACTCAGGAGGCTGAGGCAGGAGGATCGCTGTGAGTTTGAGTCCAGGCTGGGCTACACAGTGAATTCAAGGGCAGCCTGAACTATGTAGCAAGACTTTGTCTTAAACAACAACAACAAAATCAAAACCCCAAAAAGCAAACAAACAAAAAAAATTTGAGTGCAGATAACTTTATAGAGAAAAGAGTTTTCTTTAGCTCACAGTTCTGGAGGTCAAGGACCCCCATCTGGTGATGGTCTTCTTGTGGGCAGCACCGGAGACCCCTGCAGTCAGGTTCCAGTACCCTGCCCAGTATATGACGAAGGCCTGAGAAATAAAACTAAAAGACAGAACTAGGAGAAAGAAAGTGGGGCGCCAGGACGACCAATGCTGGTGCAACTGAGAAAGGCACTGGCCAGCCCCAGGCACTGACTTTTCCTGACAATTGGAGTAAAGGGAAGCTATGTGTGGTTTCTATGGAAATTAAGGTAAACAAGGCTCATAGAGGACAAGACAAAGCATTCTTGACTAGGAACAGAATAGACAAAATATATGGTTGTAATTAGAACATTGTCCTTCTAATCAGGAGGTTTTAGTTGAGGGAAGGGAATTCGGGTGTGAGTTACTCTGACCTCAGCAGGTAGGCTTCAGCCAGACTCCTATAAACTAGCCAACTGTGGGGTTAACTTTTTACAGCCTGCTTTGGGCACAATCAATATTACAGTCCCCTGCAGGCAGAGTCCACAGGTGGCACTGGGCATCACGTAGCAAGAGGCAGGAAACATGCGTTCATGTCTCTCCTGGCCTCTCTTCTGTCATGGGGACTCCACCCTCATGACCTCATCTAATTCCAATCCCTGCAGAGGCCCCACCTCTGCACACTGTGATCAGATTAAGTTTCTGCCCTCTTAGTACTTCACATGGGGATTAAATTGCAACCCATGGAACCTTGGGGGACTCACTCAGACCACGGCTCAGGGTCTTTCTGGGTTTAAAGAACTGCATCTTTATTTTATTTTATTTTATTTTTTGGTACAGGGGGTCGAACTCGGGTCCTTGCACTTGCGCAGCAAGTGGCGAAATCACTGAGCTAAATCCCCAGCCCAGAAGTGCAACTTTGATAGAGAAGTGCGATCACAGATACCTTAGGCTGCCAGGTCATGGAAAAGGTAGAGAGGGGACCTTTCCCTTCATGCCACGGTGGGTGGGACCTGCCAACATGGCCCCATCCACGTCAGTGGCAGCTCCGCCACTCCACGCCTCACCAACCCAAGGCACGGGCAAAGGGAGGTGAGTGAGGGGCTGAGCTTTGAGAGAGCTGCTCCTCAGGCCTGATGATGAGGAGCCTTCCCTAAGCCTCTGGCCGAAGTCCCTTCCCTCTGTGTTGATCTCCATCCCACATCTGGGTTCCTCTGTCCCACTCAGATGCCAGAACCATAAAGCAATGACTGTGCCTTCCCAGCCCCTCAGCCTGGCACGTGGTTGGTGCTACCAAAAGCTCTATTCTCATAACTGTCATTGGGCCCAAGCCACCATCTATTCATAGCAGGAAAGACCATGCTCTGGTTCTTAACAGAAATATCTATAGATTCCAAGGAGATTTTTTTAAACATCCAGTAGAAGAATATTAGGAACATTTATGTACTAATAAATTTGAAAACCTAAATTAAATTGATACATTCCTAGAAAAATATGTGCAAGACTATAAGACCTCGATGAGCTAGGGATGCAGCTCAGTGGCAGAGCACTTGCCTAGCAGGTGCGAAGTCCTGGGTCAGATCCCCAGAACTGCAAAAAAAGAAAAAGAAAAGAAGACTACAAGATCTTGAGCAGAAATAGAAAGTCTCAACAGAGCAATAAATATTAAAGAAATTGAAATGGTAGTAAAAACCTCCCCTCGGGCCAGGGAGCTCAGTGGCACCAAGCCTGCCTGGCAAATGCAAGGTCCTGGGAGTTCGATCCCCGGTACTGGAAAAAACAAAAACAAACAAAGAAACCCCCTCCCCTCTCTCAACACTTAGACACCAATGGCTTTACAGATGAGCTCTTCCAAAGTGTTACAAGTTAATTGCTATTTTACGTGAAGTATTCACATCACTTTAGGACAGAGTGAAAGTTACCCTGAAAGACTTGAGTAAGGGCTGGGAATTTAGCTCAGTGGTTCCACCCCCTGCCTTACAAGCGCAAGGACCCGAGTTCGATCCCCGGTACCAAAAAAAAAGAAGTAATTCAATTCAAAATGTTTGCTCACCATCAAAATTGGGCCAGGGATTTAGCTCAGTGGTTTTGCCGACTGCTTCCCAAGCATAAGGTCCTGAGTTCAATCCCCAGTACCAAAAAAAAAAAAAAAAAGATAAAAAGACTTGGGTAAGTTTCATTCCATGCTAGATCAGGACAATAAAAACGAGAGATGGAAGGGGAGAAAAAGAAGAAAAGTCTAGGCCTGTTTTATTTATTGATATGGACATAAAGAAATCTAAATAAAGTGTTATGTAATAGAATCCAGCAGAATGTTCAAATTATGTAGTGTGATCAAGGAGAGTTTATCTTGAGTGTGCAAGAATAGCTCAACATTAGAAAATGTCATAAAAGAAAAAAGAAAAAAATCTGTGAGTATCATTAAAATCATTAATAGAGTTAATAAAAATTATGTGGCTATCTTAATTAACGAAGAAAAAGCATTTGTAAAGATTCACGTCCTATTTATACAAAAATCTTAGCAAAGCACAAATAGAAAGTAATCTCCTTGGTTTGGTAGTGATTATATAGCAAAAATCTCCTAAGTAATGTTATGGCTAACAAGAAATTTTAGATACATTTTCATTAAAATCAGGAACAAGGAAAAGATGACATTGATCAACATTACAATTTAAACATAGAACTAATGACATTTGCCAGTCCTATAAGAAAAGAAAATACTAGTACAAAGATGAGGAATCTTTCCTCAAAAATCAACAAAATCAATAGAAAAACTAAAGAGAAAGAGAACTGAAGAGAAAGCTCATCCAGATACAAAATCTATACTATCTCTTTCTGCAGCAGAATCTAACTGTAAAATAGATTGAAAAAAATGGATATTATTCAAAGGAGCAACAAATCCTATAAATTCCCTTTTTTTCCTTCTATTCCTTCCCAGTACCAGGGATCGGACTCAGGACCTCACACTTGCCAGGCAGGCACAGCACCCCTGAGCTAAATCCCTGGCCCTAAATTCCCAAAAACTTAACCTAGAACACAGAAAGTCTATACAGAAAAAAATCTTAAAATCACTATTCAATTTGGTAGCCTCTTATCATGTGTAACTATTTAAATTAAATTACAACTTCAGGTCCTCTGTCACATGGGCCATCTTTCAATTGCTCAGAGCCATAGACAGCCAGTGGCTACCACACTAAGGCACTCAGAGGTAGAACATTCCTATCATCACGGGAAGTTCCACTGGACACAGTGACACACAGGGTGAAAGATCAGCCCAATAGACTTGATGGCTCATGTTCAAATATTTGCAGAGATGGCCCATTGACAAACAGTTACATATATGTAGGACTGGAATCATTGTAAGGCAGATTTGGCCTCAAACTGCTGAAGAATGGAATGGGCTGCCTGCTTGGGTAGTGAACTTCCTGATACAGGAGGTAATCAAGGCTGAGCTGGTGGCCTCAATGGTTATTTCTGGACGTGGCTCATGACCAGGGCAGAGGGAGGCTGGCTAAGCATCTCAGGTCCTTTCCACTTGATAATCTCTGGTCTTGCATCTCATTGTAAGTCCATCAGTGAACAAATTTGACAGTGAGTCAGTAGTCTTAGAGAGCAACAACATGGCACTTTTTAAATAAAGCAGAGCCAGATGCAGAGGTACATGCCTGTAGTCCCAGCTACTCAGGAGGCTGAGGCTGGAGGATCACCTGAGCCTCGAAGTTTGAGGCCAACCTGGGAAATATAGCATCTCCAACATTTAAATAAATAAATAAATAAAGCATATCATTTTCAATTAAAGTGTATCTATGTCTTCAAAATAAATAATTGAGAAGGGGCTGGGGATTTAGCTCAGTGGTTTTTCCACCTGCTGCACAAGTGCAAGGACCCGAGTTTGATCCCCGGTACCAAAAAAAATGTCTTTCGGGCTGCGGAGTTAGTTCAGTGGTTCCACCGCCTGCTGTGCAAGCTCAAGGACCTGAGTTTGATCCCCGGTACCAAACAAAAAAACAAAACAAAACAAAAATAAATAATTGAGAACTTACTATGATCTACATACTATGCAAAGTATTTTATATATTTCTTGTTGTCCTTTGAACACCGCACTGATAAAGATATTCCTATTTAGGGCCAGGGAATTAGCTCAGTGGTTCTGCTGCCTGCCTCGCAACCGCAAGGTCCCGAGTTTGATCCCCGGTACCACACACACACACACACACACACACACACACACACACACCAAGATATTCCTATTTAATAGATTTTTTTAAAAAACTGAGGCTCAGAGAAAGTAAGTGACTCGTTTAAGGTTGCACAGGAAATAAAAAGGCAGAATTCAAGCCCAAGTCCAAGTGCCATGCTTCTCAGCACCCCAACACTGTGGGAGTCTCTGCTAGCGAATATTACAGGGTAGATCGTCCCCTAGAATGAACTGTTTTTCTTTTCTTTTTTTTTTTTTTTTGTACCAGGGATCAAACTCGGGTCCTTGTGCTTGCAAGGTAGGCGGCATAACCGCTAAGCTAAATCCCTGCCCCCAGGAATGAACTGTTTTAAAGGTCCTGGAACAGAAAGCCAGGGCCCTCCAAAGTCTTCTAGAGAAGTAAAGATCCTTGAAAAAGAAAACTCCAAAAAACCCTCCAGACCTCCCCCAGGGTATTCTTGGGGCGTCAGAAAAACTGGGGGCCCTCACCATGTCCTCCTGAGGTTTCAGAGAATGGCTCATTCCAGCTTTGGCCTCAATCCTCCTCTTCCCTCATCTCCTTCTTGCAGCTCAGAACTTTGACCTGCAGAAATCTGAGGACATGTTCCGGAAGGTGAGGCCCCTCGATGGCAGGGTCTATCTCCACGCCAGACCCTGGGGAGCAGTGAGAAAAGGGTGCCCTCTCTGTCTCTTCTTCCCTCTTCCCGGGTTCTCTTTCTGCATCACACCAAGGCCCTTCCCCAAGCCCTCCTCCCGTCTCCATCCTCAGTTCTCTGTGGTCGGAGCCAGGGGATGCTCTGGCAGCGTCCTGGTGGCGGTAGGCACTGGGACCTGGCCTGCATTCCCAGATGCCTCTGGGGGCCTTTGGGGGGCCGCAGTATTCAGGCCCTGCTTTGTCTCTATAGCATGTGGAGTTCCGGAAGCAACTGGACCTAGACAACATTCTCACCTGGCAGCCCTCAGAGGTGAGCCCATGGAGCACCCCAGACCACCTGATGTCCCCTCTTTTGCCCCTCTCTCCCTACATCCCCAGCCACTTGAAACAGGGACTCTGGTGCGCTGGTCTGAGTCAGAACCTACCCATGTGCCCAGGTGGTCCGGCTCTATGACTCAGGCGGCCTGTGTGGCTATGACTACGAAGGCTGCCCCACCTGGTTTGACATCATTGGGACCCTGGACCCCAAGGGCCTCCTGCTATCGGCCTCCAAGCAGGAGCTCATCCGGAAGCGAGTCAAGGTCTGCGAGCTGCTTATGCACGAGTGTGAGCTGCAGAGTCAGAAGGTGAGCGGCTGGACAGGGAAGGGTGGGGTGCTTGGCAGACCTACTCTGTCCGCCCTGTCCCTGCACCCTTCCTCAGCTTATAGCACTCAGGGCTCTGGTAGAAAGCTGCCTTCTCCTCCCATAACCCTCCCTGCACATCTTAATGTATGCATGGCACTTTCTGTTGCCATGAGTCCAGGGCCACCAAAGCCCTTTCCCATCTATGTGAGACACTGACCTGAGTGCAGGAAAAGCTCTAGCTCTGGTCCTCGGGGACCCTGGCAATGGTGGACACTCAGATAACCCACCATTGTAAGTTGCATAACTATAAACATTGATGGTCAACCCATTACTTTGGGCTTCCCTGAAAACAGTGACCCTGGAATCAGGGGCACAGAGTGATGGCAAACCTTTTAGAGCTTTCAGTGATATGCATGCCATAGGTTCACCACCACTGCCCTAGAATCTTCTAGGGAGTGGCTTAGAGGTAGAGTGCTTGCCTAGCTTCTATAAGACCCTGAGTTCCATCCCTAGTACCACAAGAAAAAGAAAAATCCTAAGGGGCACAGGACTTCTAAGACAAGAAGGCCCTCTGTGCAGATTTCTGCTCCTGGCCCCTGAGTTATACCCTGACCTTCTGCCTCCTTCAGATTGAATCTAATGTCAAGTCTGACCTTGTTGGTCTTATGAGTCTACAAAGATGACCTTTCTTGTGGAGTTGATATATCACTATGGCAGGATTTGGCTGGATACAAAATCAGCCCTTAGCAGAGACTGACGACAGGCGTGAGTGCATTGCAGAGCGCTGGATTCAGCGCCTGGCTTGAACAGATGTACGTCTCTCAAACAGGATGGCTGATTTTACAGGGTTGATGTAATGTCTTCTATGTCATAGATGGTCCCACTAGGAGCTTATAATTATGGAGATGATGATACTAATGTAATCTGTTAATATTTGTCAGGGATCAGCCATGTGCCCAGCACTGGGTTCTTTGTGAACATTTTATTGAATTATCATAGCAATTCCATCAGAACCTAGAATTATTCCCATTTTACAATGGAAGAAAGAAAGTAAGGCTCAGAAAGGTTAAAAACCTGCTCATTGTGGCACAGCCTGGCAAATACGTGCTCTGGCTTGGACACAGTTATGGGACTGTCGAACAGTGGCAGCATAGTGCAGTCAGCTCTTCATATCTCTGGTTTCCACATCTGCAGATTGAACAGACTACAGATGGAAAATATTCAGAGAAAAAGTTGGATCGGTACTGAACATACAGATTGGTCATTGGTGCCTAACAATACAACAACTATTTACATAGCATTTGTGTCGTATTGCTCTCATAAGTAATCTAGATATGATTGGGTATATGTGAGGTTGTTCCTGGGTTATATGTAAATGCTCTGCCTTTGTATATAAGGGATTTGAACATCTGTAGACCGTGTTATCTGTGAGGGGTCGTGGAACCAATCCTCCATGGATGCCAAGGGACAACTATGTACTATCATATATAAAGATGCCCAGTGATCCAGGCATGGTGGCACATGCCAATAATCCTAGCACTCTGGGAGGCTGAGGCAGGAGGACCATGAGTTCAAACCCAACCTGGACAACTTAATGAGACCCTGTCTCAAAATTTTTTTAAAAAATGAAAAGGGCTGTGTATGTAGCACAGTGAGTACAAAGACCCTAGGTTCAATCACTAGTACCACCACCACCACCACCACCACCAAAAAAAAAAAAAGCCCAGCTAGTAATATCTTTAATTATGCAGTTAACTTATCCCAGGAAATGGTGTTGGACAAATTGTGATAACACACCAGGAATCCACAGACCATCTGGGCTCAGAGGCAGCATCCCCTCAGACCCTGGAAGGGCTCGCTCTGTTTGGGAAATGACAAATGTGAGCTGCTTCGGCATGTGAACAGAGGGAGTAGGAGCAGTGCTGAGTCTCTGTGGTCAGGATCCCCAGGAACTGTGGTTTAAGAAGTCCACCTGCTGTGTTCCGCACAGCTGGGCAGAAAGATCGAGAAGTTGCTGATGGTGTTTGACATGGAGGGGCTGAGCCTGAAACACCTGTGGAAGCCAGCTGTGGAGGTCTACCAGCAGGTAAGGTGGCACCTGGCTCAGGGCCAGAGCAGCAATGCCCCCACCCCACCCCAGCCAGTAGGGAATTGCAGCGCATACCAGCTTTTGTGGCTTATGGAAAAGAGGGGGGACCACAGACCCATCAGCGATGCCAGCCTGGGGTCCACCCACCCCTCAAGAGAAAGAAGAACAAGAGGAACTCAGAGGAGGGCACACATGCTCTGCTGGTGGGAAGGTGGGATGGGCTGGGGATGGGCCTCTTGTCTCAGCAGTATCAGAAGCCACAGAAGCCAGGCCCAGAGGCACACGCCTGTATTCCCAGCATTCTGGGACGCTGAAGCAGAAAGATCCCAAGTTTAAGCCCACCCTGGGCAACCTAGTGATTTAGGGAGACCCTGTCTCAAAGTTTTAAAAAACAAAATTTAAAGATCTGGGGATGTAGCTCAGTGCAAGGACTCTGGTTCAATCCCCACTACCCCGCAAAATAAAACAAAAACAAAACAAAAAACTTCAGAAGTCCAGGAATGAGTGAGTTCTGCAGAATGACCACAACCAGTCTCATCTTGACTTCACAGTTTTTTGCCATCCTGGAAGCAAATTATCCTGAGACGGTGAAGAATTTAATTATTGTTCGAGGTGAGTCCATGACCCGCATGCCCTCCTGGGGGAGGAATTGGGGTGGGGCACAGTAGGTAAAGCCCTTGAGCCCTGGGCTTCTCACACCATCCTTTGTGAAGAACTGGTTTTTTGTTTGTTTGGATTTTGTTCGTGTTTTTCATTCCAGTGCTTGGCAGATTGATACTTTGTAATGTACTGGTATGTTGCCTAAATTTCTAAATGTTCCTAAGTTTCTAAATGTTCGCTTACATCAGCATGGACAGGCAGTCCATGGGCCACATGTTGATGAGCATCCTTTAGCAGGAATGGTCTCCATCTTGGGTGGCCATCTAGTGAGGGGTTGCCCCGTGTGGCCTGGAGTTTCATGATCTGACTTCGAATCTAGCTAGCTCTATGATTTTCAGTGAGTCTGTTCTACCTCACTGAGCCTCAGTCTTCCCATTCTGTGAAATGGAGCTATGTGGTTAAAGGGGATGGTCTATGAAGATGTGGCACAGAGCGGGACCCACAGAAAGTGCCCAGTGAACAGAGTGCTTCACAGTGGGACAGTTCTAAGCTTCACCATGGGGCCTTCCCATCTACTTGCACCCAAGGAGGTTGCAAAGCCACCTGGGAAAACCTTGAATGTGCAACGGAAGAAGTACCATTAGGAAATCAACATTGCCAACACTATCCCCAGCTTGTGTACAACACCTTCAAACTTCGTGAAGGGGTACAGCCATTTATTGAGAGCCAGGCACTGTGCCAATTGTTACACATATGTTATTTCATCTCTATTTTATATTTTATTTTATTTTTTGGTTTTTTGAGACAGGGTCTCACTATGTAGCTCAGGCTGCGCTGGTACTTACTGCATGGCCCAGGCTGGTCTCGAACTCCCAGCAACCCTCCTGCCTCAGCCTCCTGAGTGCCACCACGCCTGGCTTCCATTTTATATTTTTGCATTAATAGCACTAAGACTCAGAGAGGGTGAGTCACTAGCTGAAGGTCACACAGCAAGGAATGGCAGATTACAGATCTAACTCCTATCCTGTCCATGCCCTTGGCCATAGCTCTATATACCCAAGTTCTCTCTTGTCTACCTGCCCAAGGGAATTTCATGTGTTTCAGCCCCTAAGCTTTTTCCAGTAGCCTTCAACTTGGTCAAGTCATTCATGGGTGAGGAGACACGCAAGAAGATAGTGATTCTGGGAGGTGAGTGACTTGGCCTCCTAGCGAGGCCCATCTTGCTATACACCTAGAAGGTAGACATTAATGTTAAAGGCCTCACTTCTGCCTGGCTCATGCTCTTAACCAAGTCACTGACCCTGGCCTAACCCTGGCAGCTTCTGTTCACAAGGGCGAGGGTTCCAGACCTAGATCAGGGCCTGTAAGCCACATTTAGTTCTTGGATACTCTCAGGAGTAGATGTCCGGGTAGCAAAGCTGAGACATATCAGGTTCCTTCCAAGCCCCTCCGTTGAACTCCCTGACCCCCTGGGATGCCCCTCTGCTCCCACACAGACAACTGGAAGCAGGAGCTGACAAAGTTCATCAGCCCTGACCAGCTGCCCGTGGAGTTTGGGGGCACCATGACTGACCCCGATGGCAACCCCAAGTGCCTGACCAAGGTACAGGAGCCCAGAGGATGGGGAGGGAGGGGAGACCTGCATGGCCTGGTTCCCGCTCACCCAGCCTCACCCACAGATCAACTACGGGGGCGAGGTGCCCAGGAGCTACTTCCTGCGAGAGCAGGTGAGGATGCAATACGAGCACAAGGTGTCTGTGGGCCGAGGCTCCTCCCAGCAGGTGGAGAATGAGATCCTGTTCCCAGGCTGTGTGCTCAGGTAGGGGCAGCAGCTACTCCACACCTGGCACAGCTGGAAGGGGCTCCAGAGCCTGAGCAGGAGGTCAATGGAGCTCTGTCTGCTCCAGGTGGCAGTTTGCATCGGATGGTGGGGACATCGGCTTTGGGATTTTCCTGAAGACCAAGATGGGGGAGTGGCAGAGAGCTGGGGAGATGACGGAGGTGCTGCCCAGCCAGCGATACAATGCCCACCTGGTGCCAGAAGATGGGAGCCTCACCTGCCTCAAGCCTGGCATCTGTAAGAGCTGTGAGGTTTGCTGGCGTTGTTTCCCTCTCAGGACAGAGAAGAGCTGCCTGTCTCTTGCCTGTCTAGCCTCTCTGTGTGCCCTCTATTTCCCACTCTCAGGAAGCATGAGGGGTATGGTAAGAGCTCTTTTTTTTTTGGTAAGAGCTCTTAAATGTCATGGGCTCCAGGGGGGTTGGCTGCAGGGTCCTGGATCTGAAGAGTGGCCCCTGTGGTAGGCACAAGGGCAGAGATGAATTGCAGAGGAAGAGCCAGGGGTTCAGAGCCCAGGACTGTGGGCACAGCTGCTGGGAACCCCCCACACCAAGCTCATCAGCCTTAAAGACAGGCAAGTAAACAACACAGGCTTAGCTTCAGAGTTTCCAGTTGCATGAACCACCCCACTCCAGGAATCCTAAAGAGATGCCTCTTCTAGCTGTTTATCATTTGTTCCCAGGCCTCTCAGGCCACAGGCATTTTGGTCAGTTTTACCAGAAGCAGCCCTACCCAGCATCTGCGTCAGTTTCCCACTGTTATAACAAGATGCCGGAGATATTCAGCTTGTAAAGAGGTTTATTTTGGCCCACAGTTTGGGAGGTTCCAGTCCACGAGCAAATGGCCTTTGGTTTGGGGCCTGTGGTGAGGCAGCACACTGTGGCTTTTGTGTGTGGCAGAGCAAAGCACTTACATTATAAGCCAGGGAATGGAAGAGAGGAGCCAGGGCCCCTTGATCCCCTTGGAGCCACACCTCGAATGCCCTAAGGATGTCCCACACAGCCCTGCCTCGTAAAGACACCACCATCTCCCAGTAGCACTGCCTTGGGTCCCAGACCTTTAACATAAAGGCCTTTGGGGAACATTCAAACTCCAGACTCTCCCACTCAGGAACACTGCTGCTGTCCCACCTGTACAGGGAGCAGAGCGAGAAGATGGGGAACCCAAGGTCAGTTTCCTACGCTGAAGGAAGGCACATGCTAAAGTTGACACATTACCCAGTCCAGCTTGTGGAAAGGGAGAAATAGAAGAATGGAAGCAGAAGTCCAGATAACTCATTATGTCCCAGAGCTCCCATTAGACCTTGGCACTGTAGGAAACACCTTCCATCTACGAGCTGGGAAAATGGCTTATGTAGCTCATTGCTCTCCTCTGGAGGAAGTAGGGCTGTCCTCTGGGTTGGGACAGCATGATAAGGGAATCCCTCCCAGTCCCTCTCTTCCCTTGCTCTATGGTTACGGGAAAGTCATATCATTTCTATAAGCCTCAGCTTCCTTATTCATATAGTGAGTATATTAGCCAGCTTTCTGTCACTACAACAAAGTACGTGAGGAAATTAACTTATAAAGAGAAACTTATTTTGGCTCATGGTCTACAGGTTCTGGTCTAAGATCCAGTGGCCCCATTACACTGTGCCTATGGCAAGAGCAGCATATCATGATGGGAGAACATGATGGAGCAAAACCCCCTTACAACACAAGCCAGGAAGCAAGGAGAAAAAGAAAGGAAAAGATTGGGGTTCCCAAATCCCCTGCAAGGGCACATCTCCAATGACCTAAGGACCCCACAAAAGACCACCTCCTAAAGAGTCCACCTCCTCCCAGTAGTGCCACTCTGGACACCATGCCTTTAACACAAAGGTCTTTGGGGGATGCTTATCCAAACTGTAGCAATGGGGACGTTGCCTTCTGCCTGGGCAGCTTTGAGGACTCAGGGAGTCATGACAGGTTGACGTAAAATAATGCCCACTGCACAGAAGGGGCTACCTGGCATGCTACTTGGTCTCATGACCCTGGATCCAGCACAGGCAGCATCCAGGAAGTGGTGAGTGAGGAGTGGACTCAGACCACCCATAGCCCTGGTCAGCCCATCCCCAAGGGCTGACTACCTTGGTTCTGGGCTCACTCTCTAATCACGTCCCTGTCCTCACAGATGTCCTGCGCTTTGACAACACCTATAGCCTGATATATGCCAAGAAAGTCAGCTACACAGTGGAGGTGCTGCTCCCCGACAAGGCCTCTGAGGAGAAGTTGCAGGGTCTCACGGCAACGAGACCTTCCCCAGCGCAATGAAGACCCTGGTCACCTCTGCACCTGCCCCCTCCAACCCCTTTGCAGCCCCCTGTCTGCCCCCTGCCCTCCAGATGGTGCTAAAGGTGATCACAGAGAGCAACTTACCCCACATCACCATCTCAGGCACTGTGTGGCCCCTTGGCATAGTGGCCAAGCAGGAATCAGGACAACCATTGCTGACATCATCCTGGAGAGTCAAAGGAGCACCTCCTCCCCTGTCCCTAGGGAATAGAAATGACAACAACCTTGAGAGGAACCCTGTGTTTACAAAGAAAGGTTTCTGCCCGCAGAAGCTGCCTTTGGGTCCATCTGACAAGGCCTACTTATCCCAGGATTCACCTGTGTCTGGTATCCCATCTTGGGGTGCATGAGCCCCAGGCCCTGCAGGGACCCCGGCTTCAGGCCTGAGAAGCAGAGAAGCCCCATTCTCTGCCCACAGAAGGTTGGAAAGGATGGGGAGAGTCATTTGGAGGCAGCTGGTGGGATACAGGGCAAGGGTGAGGCTCCCAGTTCCAGCTGAGCATCGAGGCCTCTCCAAGCTTGTTCTGCTACCTTTGAGGGAAAAATCAGAAATGGGCAGCAGGACCAGGCAGGGATGCCATCACAGCACATCCAGCCTTACCGAGCTGAGTAGGCAGAGACCGAGTCTCCAGCGGCCCCCTCCCTCCACACTGCTGGGATCCCCCTGATGCTCAGCTGGGGTCCCCCTGATGCTCAGCTGGGGTTCTTGCCTGGCCTGAGTGGGGCCAGGACCAACAGAAAGCTGGAGGGAAAGGCATGTTGCTGGGATGCAGTGTGTGAGCTGCCACTTCTGATGTTCATCCTGGACTCTGGCCTGAACTTTTGAGCTTTTCCTCCATCTTTGTCTCCCTGGGAGAGTGGAAAGTCTCGACCAGTAATGGTTTCTACACATGGTTTCTCAAAAGCTAGCCCTCCTGGTGGCTACAGCCCACACTCAGGATGACCACTGCTTGCTCTTCAGGGTAGACCATACCCAACACAGGAATTAGCCGAGGAAGTCACTAAGTGTGAGCTGGTGGGTTGTCTCCAGGTGGCAATGAGCCCATCACCTGGGCCTGGGAGCCCAAGCTGTGCTGCCCGGCCCCTCCCCACTCTGCCCTTTGGCTGGACCAGGACAGTGCCCACCAGTATCTCAAAAGACTTGTGTTCTACCTGGGTGGCTCAGCCCCCAGCTCAGTATCATTGATCCTGCCCTCCTTGTTTGTCCTGCCATATTGTGCCAAAGGGCAAGAGTCCTGTCCTCCCAGCTGACTCCCTGGGAGTGAGTGGTCAGATGTCCCTGTAAAAGAGGTCCTTGCTGCAAAATGTCAATACCCTAGCTATGGAAGACCCCTCCCCAAGGCCAGAAGCCTCAGTACACACCACCTGTCCAGGGGCTTCGCAAGTAACCAAGCTCCGGCCACTTTCTGCTCCCAGATTCTGAGGTTTCATTTTTTTCCAGTTAATAGGTTAATAATTTCTTCGTTATCCAGGATGCATTTTAAGGGAAAAATGAGGCTTGGGAAGATGGGGGTGGTCTTCTAGGCAGTTGTGCGACCCTTGGGGCCCCCATCCCCTGCAGCTCAGCCAGCTGCACTGTTGACAGTTTAGCATCTGAGCAGGAGGTCTGCTGCCATAGAAAACAAACTCGACACCTAAAGCCATCCATGAGGCATTCTGGTCCAAGGGTTAAAGCAGATTAGCAAGAGAAAAAACAATGGTTGTGAGGGCTCCAAGGAGACTGCTTGGGGCTGTCAGGCAAGAATCACACGATGTCCTCAAGGTGAAGGGCTGCCCCTGTGTCCAAGATGTGACACATTTCCACCACTCTGTTGCACCATGTGTTCACCTTCCCTGCTGCCTCTGCAGAGGCACTCGGGCCTCCCAGGGCCATTTCCCCACACTCTTTGCCAGGGTATAGGGAGTGTGGTCAACTGGGGTTGGGAGGACTCTGTGCTTGCTTTCACTTAGCCTACCTGTTGCCATGACAGGCACTTGAAACACCTCAGTTCAGCCTTCCTTCCACCCCTTGCCTAAAAACCAGGTTTTTGGACTTGAACCCTGACCTTTGCTCTTCTAACCACCTGCAGCCAATTTTGTGTCAATATAACCTCAAGCAGTTCCCTGGCAGGTCACAAAGATTGCTGTGTCCCCTGCACATGGTTTCCTGAGGCTCTGATCACAGAGACTAGACACAGATATCGTTTGTCTGGGGATGGCAAGTAACAAGGTACTGGGGAGTGAACACTTCACCTTCATGGGTGACAGTAGTTTTGAGGCCCCAGCTGAAAGTCTTGGATCTCCTGCAAGGCCATACAACACAAGGCAAAAGAAAGACACAAAAACAAGACTTAAACGGAAAGTAGGGACTGAGGCGGGCCACGCCAGACATGTGGCAATGATGCTGAGCATGTGGTGAGGACCCCAAGCAACCAGGACCATCCGTATATATTGATTCCACAGGCATGGGTAAGAATAGGGTAGATGATATCAGCTGACACAGGCAAGGCTTGTAGAGGAGAGGGTAAGGCGTTCTTGCAGGAGCATACCTGACCAGGTCAGTTGTGGTTAACTAGTAAATTACTAAAACAATTAAGGGAGGGGTAGCTCTATGAATGGAATTTGGTCTGGAGCCAAAGGTCCTCACCCACAGTTATCTCACTAGGAACCCTGAAGCTGCGCAGGTCAGGACTTAGACCTCACCTGCGGTCACTGGCATGAAAACTATACTAGCCTGCAGCATCCGACATGCTCCTGTGAGTCACATAGGCTTCAGTCTGGCTCCAAATATAATGCGGCCAATTACAAGGAAAGAATGCCTGGTCCATATTACAGCCTGCTCTAGCCTGGCCAGAGGGGTCTGCCCTACAGTAGCATCTCCTACCTGGCCAAGGAGGCAGGAACACACTGAGAGCTCAGCAGGAATATGTCCTCAGGAATCCCATTCTAAATTCTTTTTTTTTCTTCTTTTGGTGCTGGAGACCTTTGCACCGAGCTGTACTCCCAGCCCTTTTTCTATCTTTAATTTTGAGACAGGGTCTCATTTAGTCATTAAGTTTCCCAGGCTAGGCTTGAACATATGATCTTCCCTCAGCCTCCCAGAATGCTGAGATTACATGCATGTGCCACGATGCCCACCCACTCTTAATTTCTTTTTTTTGTACCAGGGATTGAACTCGGGACCTTGCGCTTTCAAGGCAGGCACCAGAACCACTGAGCTAAATCCCCAGCCCCCCACTCAATTTTTAACACTGTCCATTTTTTATAGCTGACAAGGAAGAAGAGGAGGAGGAGAATTTGCTCAGGTGGGGAGCACTGGGTTGCCCAAAGTTCATTTCTTCATCTACCCATTCATTCTTCAGCGCTTATTAATTGTCTGCCTAGCATCCGGCATCAAAGCCCCCGGGGACACCAAGGACACTGGGATGACCCAATTTTGCTAACGGAAAACTGGCCTACACTGAGGGAGGCAGAACTGACTATGAAGATCAGTTATCAAATCCACTTGCCTAGTCAGATGTGGTGCTGAAAGCCTGTGATCCTACCACTGCCGGTGCTGAGGAAGGAGGATCGCCGCAAGTTTAAGGCCAGTGTAAGCTACATAGTGAGTTCAAAGTCAGACTGAACTGCATAGTGACACCCTGTCTCAAAACAAAAATGCACTTGCCTGGGCTGCGTATTTAGCTCAGTGGTTCTGCCGCCTGCCTCGAAAGCACAAGGTCCCGAGTTCGATCCCTCGTAACAAAAACAAAAACAAAAAAATGCACTTGCCGTCACCATGTGCACTTGTCGGGGAGTAGCTGAATTCTGGAGGAGCATCCAGCAAAGAAAGCAGGCAAGGGTATCAAAGGAGCTTTGCCTCAGAAAGTGACCACTGAGAGGAGAGCTAAAAGATGTGTGAGGTGACCAGGTGCAGTGAGTCTTACAGACGGAGGAATGGGGTGTGGGTGGCCAGGGAGTGTTTAGGGCTGAAGGACTGACATACAGAAGGGCTCTCCTGGCCCTGGATAACACCGGTAACAACTCCCCAGTGTTTGCTACTCTGCATGAATGACTGTGTACACATTAAATAGTTGTTAATAAAACCACGTTTTATAAAATGAAACATTATAAAATACCTTTGTTGTCTGTCAGAAAAAAATGACAACATTTTGGCAGGAGCCCATAGATCTAAATTCTTGCATAACGTGAGGTGCTAGAAATACCAAGGCCTCACCTACCCATGGCTTAGAGATGGGACCTGCCCTTTCCAGCCTGGTTCCTCTTAGAATTCCCCCGATCTTGAGGGGAAATGGGGGCGGGGATTATATAGGGGTATTTTTATGGCAGTTGGAAAGGCTCCCTTGTTCCCCAAGTCTCTGCCCTGGCCCACGTCACCTTCCAAGGAGTCCAAACCAGAGGGGACTCCACTGTGAAAGTCACTGGTGTCCAGAGCAGGCCGTCAGGAGAGCTCCATGGCACAGCACTCGACAGTCTGCCCAGGCTCTCTCCTTTCATGTAACCCTAGAGTAGGCAGGGACTGTAGCCCCATCCGACAGGTCAGGAAACTGGGCCTCAGCAAGGGGGAATACCTTAGCCAAAGCCTCAGTGTCCAATGGCAGAACTGGAGCAGGCACCCAGGTCAACCGCCAGCAGTGTCCCCTGCACTTCCTCTCTGGAGAAGGTGGAGGTAGGCATGTGGGTCCCTGACAGGAAAGGCTATTGGGGGCACACAGTAGGACAGAGGGAGGGATGAGGGTCCTGGGTTGGAGGGAAGGCACAGAGTCTGGGGAAGGTCCCTAGACATTGGTGCTTCTCAATGGTACGTGACAGTGCTGGCTTCACTCCTGCTCTCCTTCTGTGTACCAGGCCCAAGCTGGGGCAGGAAGCATTATCCCCAGCTTACAAATGAGGAGAATGAGGCTGAGGGCAGGACACTTGCCGCTACTCAGCAGAAAAAGGAGGAGGTAAGATGTGGACTTCAGTCTCTGTCCAGTGGGAGTGGGGAGGGGTTAGGCTTGGTAGATTCAGAGAAAGTTGCTTGGCCAACTTGAAACTTTAGAGACACTCAGGTGGTGTGGGTCCCCCCTGCCTTTAGCCACCAGGGGGCAGTCTTGGGCCAGCCACAGCTCGGCCAACCAGGGAGGTGAATAGTGTCCCTTTGCAGGCATCCTACTCAGGGAAAGGCCCCTTTGCAGGTAGGGTGAAGTGGAGAGAACAAAATAGGTGCAGCCTGTTTGTTTCTGTCACCTGAAGTGGCAGAAGAGGTGGCTGTACCTCAGTTCAGACCTGGCTCTGCCGTTTGCTGGCTGGACTCCATCTTCAGCCCCATGGCCACTGTCCTATCAGGGCCTCCTTGTGCCCAGTCCTACCCTCTCCCCACCAGACTCCACAGAGCAGCCAAAAATTCTTTCTGAAATGAAAATCAGATCACATCCTCCTTGTTCAAGACCTTCATTGGCTCCCCATTTCCTCCTTAGTCTCTTTGGTGACTTACAAGGCCCTCTGTGACCTGACCAATATACCCCTGTTCCAGCTTCACTTGACAACCTGAATGTATTAATGCAGCAAGCTTCTTATGCCTCCCTGCCTTTTCTTGGGCTTGGGTTCAGCCTGGAACTCTCTCCCCAACCCTGTCTTGTATACACTCAAGACCACTGGAGCCCTCCTCTGGGAAGCCTTCCCTAGGCCACACCCCGCTGTGGGCCCATCAGAGTCAAGGGCCTTTCTCCATACTTGTGGAGCAACTGAACCAGCACTCATCACAGGACAGCCATCACCTGCCTCATATCTGTTTCCTATTCACTCTAGCGCCTAGACCAGGCTGCACTTTGCAGGTGCTCCATAAAGCTTGGCAAAAAACAATAGATCCTACTTACTGAACATCTACCTAGATATGCTGCCCTGCCTACTAGTGATCCCCCATTTTACAGGGAAGGAAAGTGAGTCTCAGAGACAGTCACTGGCTCAGTGGAACTCAGAGTGTCTGCCTCCACAGCCACGTGCCAGTTTTCCATTCCAGGACGTAAATACCCAAGCCAACTTATAAACAGAAAAGGTTTATTTTGGCTCACAGTTCTGGAGGTTCCAGTCCAAAATCCAGTGTTTGGGGCTGCTACTGAGGGTCGCACATCACAACAGGAGCACATGCATAGCAAAACTACTTGTGTCACAAGCTAAAAAGCAGAAGAGAAGACTGGGATCCCACAGTCCCCTTCGACCCCTAGTGACCTAAAGATTTTTCACCAGGCTCTGTCTCCTGAAGGTTTCACCACCTCCCTACAGTTCTGAGACAGACAGGAAACCCCTGACTCTCCCTTTTTTCCTGTATGCCTGGAAAGGGGGCATAATTTGGCCAACAGCTGTCATACCTTCCCCCCTTCTCCCTTTACTTCCCCAAGGTCCCCTGAGGAAAGATTGAAATGTCTTGCCTCAGTGTCCTCTTGCCATGCCTAAGGTTACTTTGTAGCCACTTTCCAGGATGCTCCAAACAGGAGGTACAGCTGGAACAGGAAGCGTAGCTCAGCTGTCAGCCGTGACACCCCTCTCCCACTCCCAGCTGCTCCAGAAGCTGCCATTTTTGAAGTGGCAGGGAAACTATCTCTAATATGGAAGGATCTGAACTCATTAAAAACATCTTCAACCTCCCCAAACCCTAGTAAGCTGTGATAAACAGCTAGTCCTACTACAGATTCTCCAGTTTGGACCCTGTTATTTTTCACAGAGATGTGACTACTGCCAATCAAGCAGCCACCAAACTCCCACCATGGCAGCTGCAGTTGTCCTGGACACCCTGCAACCACTCGAGGAGGTGTCTACCCTGACCACTATGGGCTTTAATTTGACTAAGAAGAATTGAATTTAAACTAATCAGTGGGTTAGGATTGGAAGGCTTGAGCTTAGACCAATCAACAGGCTCAAATTTGGACCAATAAGCAGGTTTAAATATGGACCACTCACAGATCTGCAAGCTGTTATGTAAGCAGTACTCCCCTCACGCTTCTTATGTTGGTCTGGAAGGACTTTTTTGAGGTGGAGGGGTTGAGACAGGGTCTCACTATGTAGTTTGTTTTTTTGGGTTTTTTTGGTACCAGGGATTGAACTCGGGTCCTTGCACTTGCAAGGCAGGCGCTGGAACCACTAAACTAAATCCCCAGCCCTCACTATGTAGTTTGGGCTGGCCTCAAACTCACTGCAATCCTCTTGTCTCAGCCTTCTGTATACTGGATTATAGGCGTGCACCACCATGCCTGGGGGAGAGCTCTGTTTTATGCACTGACCCGTTCAAATAAGCTTTGCTCCAATGGTCCTGTAAATCTTCTCTAATTTATTTGTTGGGTAGTGTGGGCTCAAAAAGTTCTATAAGCTTATTTGGGATTCTTATCCTGAGTAGTGTGGACAGAGCAATTGCTTTTAAAAAGAACTATAAACACTTGGGGTTGTTAGCCCCAAGGAGCTTGAGAGTAGCAGTTACAAGGGGTAGGATCAACCAACAACATCTGGCATAAACTGGTGACAGCTGGCAGTCACAGAAATTAGCCAGTGGTGGTGTTGATTCATGATGTCTGTCATTAAATGTTGTCAACTGGTGGCATCAGTGCTCAGAGCTTTAACACTAAAGGCTGAGAGTCATTGGCACTCTAAGCCCAGAACTGGTAGCAGAGCTATACTTTGCTGATTCAGATCATGAATCAAGCAAGAGAACTCTCAATTGGTAGGCAACAGTCCCACCCTGCAGATACAGGTCTTTGGGGGACACTCATCAAACCCACAGCAGCTTTCTTGGCTTATTCACCCCTGGAGTTCAGGTTATTCCAGGAGGTAAGGTTGTATCAAAGGGCAGAGTCTGACAGCACAAAGAGCATCACAGAGAGCCCTAAGGTCTGGGATAAGCAGGGCAGTCACAGAGCAGGGAAGAACAAGAAGAAATGAACTTGCCTATCTGAGATGTCCTCATGCTGGAGTTGATGGAAGACTAGGGGACTGGCCCAATTATGACAGCAAAAGCCAACACTATTGGTGACTTACCACGTGCCAGGTGGTGGGTGAGGCTTACTGGCTTCTCTACTGGCCAGCTCAGTAATCCTATAAGAAGTCTCAATTTGTAGGACAGAAAACTGAAACTCAAGATCACACAGCATATTGGGAGTGAAACTGGGACTCAAATTCAGGTCCGTAGATTTAATATGGTGTTTCAGTACCATACATTTCAAAACTATTTGGGAATTATTTGCTTAGTATTGAGAATGGACTTATAAGTACTTGAGCTGTTTTCTTGTGGTCATCTCCCAGAGCCAGCCCCTCTCTCCACTAGTCTTGGGCACCCCAGGGTCTCCACGGATGGCAATGAAAGTAGAGACCAGTTTGATGTGAAGAACTTGTGACAGTCCATGCCCTTGGGGTGATCCCAGGCATTGTGGGAAGGGGTACAAGCTTCAGCCCTAAACAGGATAGAAGTTAGGAGCTCTTCTGCCTTGTAGCAACTTTTGCTCTCCTCCCTAATATCTATCCCATAGCAACTCATTCCTATGATAAGCAGCCAGAACATCATATGAGAGAGGGAAGGGAAGAGTCTATGAACTTAACCAAGAGCTGTATTCACAAGTCAGAGGTCTCTTCTAGCAGAGTTTTACTTCTTGGGAGCCATTCATACTTCTTAGCACAGACATTATCAATAGTAGTATCATCATTGTCATCATTACCTTACTTAATTTCATTTTCTGATTATAATTGGAGAAGAAAACTAAATAATAAAGAATCAAAAACAATTAGATCTAACAAGGTTAGCAAGGTTGCAAGATACAAGATTAGCATACAAAACTTAGTTGCTTCTCTACACTATGAACAATGTGAAAATTAAATTAGGAAAACAATTCCATTTATAATAGCATAAAAAAGAATTAAGTACTCAGGAGTAATTTTAACACTGTAGGTGCAAGACTTGTACATGAAAACTACAAACTTATTTTGAAAGACCCTGCCCTTCCCGTGACCCCTCCCCAAGCTCCAACGGTCGCTGGTCGCCTACCGAGCTGCGCTAGCACCGCCAGGGGGCGCGGCGTTAGCGGCGGGCTCGGGGCCCTGGGGAGCCGTCAGTCCCCGCCCCTCGGCCCCCTCCCCCCCGGA